GTGGCGGTGGCCTCCTTCAAGGCTGAAGCAAGGGTAACCTCTTCTTTAGCCACGATGCGTCTTCTGGCTGTGCTCTTGTTGATATTACCTGTCCTTCCTCCTTTCCTGTTGTTTCAAATGCTGATTCCTGTGTTTGTGTGTTTGCATGCCTGTGCATATAAAACGGGAAGGAAGGGAACTTCCCTCGTACTAGTGGCCAGAGATGGCTGGGGAAGAGTCTGGCCAACTCCATTGTCATTTCCTGTTCCATTGTCCAAGTTGCCATCTGCATCATCTGGCTGGGAATCTCTCCACCCTTCCCAGAGTCTGACATTCATTCCCAGCCCAGAGAGATCACCCTGCAATGCAATGAAGGGTCTATTGCCATGTTTTATGCTGCCCTTGGCTACATGGGCTTCTTGTCTACCATCTGCTTCACAGTGGCTTTCTTAGCTAGGAAGCTGCCTGGGGCCTTCAATGAAGCCAAGCTGATCACCTTCAGCATGCTGGTCTTCTGCAGTGTTTGGGTCTCCTTTGTGCCCACCTACCTGAGCACCAAGGGGAAATACATGGTTGCCGTGCAGATCTTCTCTATCTTGGCCTCCAGTGCTGGGCTTCTGGGCTGCATTTTCTTTCCCAAGTGCTACATAATTGTACTCAGGCCTGATCTGAACACAAAGGAGCATCTGACAACAAAAGCTGGTTCTTAATTTACTCATTTTTGACAACTGTTTTCCAGCACAGCAATGATGAAAAAGACATACTTGCCTTGCAAATGTAGCTTTAGATTTAAAGGCATGTTTATGGCTCCATTTCTGATGGTTACGTTTCAAACCTTTAAGAAGTGTCTGAATGTTTAAATTTTATTTTTAATTGTGCTATTTTAACTTGGAAAGCTGAATGTCTCTTAAAATTCAGGTTCTTTGGCACTTCCTGCATTTCAAAATATTGCTTTAATAGGAAAATTGATTAGGACTGCGAAAACAAATAGAGTAAAAAAGTGGGATTCAGTAGTGAAATCTTTTGTTTCAGGAACAGTTAACAGAGGGCATGGAAACATTATTTACAGATATATAGATATATAGACCACAGTGGGAGGATTCTTAGGAGTGGTGAATAAACCTGGTAGGAATAATTTAATCCTTATTGCAAAGAGCCATTTAAAACTTTGAGGTATGGATTGCTCTCCATTGTAGATAGAATTACCGTATTTTTTGCACCATAACACTCACTTTTTTCCTCCTAGAAAGTAAGGGGAAATGTCTGTGCGTGTTATGGAGCGAATGCCTACGGGTGGCAGGGGGGATCTGCTGCAGTTGTGAGCAGAGGATCCATGGTTCCCCTTCCTTCCCTCCTCCGTGGCTCGCTTTGAAACAGCAAAGCGGGGAAGAGCTGCTGAGTGGGGAGGAGAGAGGGACAGAGAGCCTGCTTGCTTTAAAGGAGCAAAGCGGGAGAGGAGAGAAGCCGCTAACACGAGTGTAAGCGGCTCCTGTCTGGTTGGCTCCTTTAAAGCAAGCAGGCTCTCTGTCCCTCTCTCCTCCCCACTCAGCTCGCTAAATAGCATTATTAGCAGCATCCTTCTCCACACACCCCATGCGTGCTCCTTGTCCCTTGAGTGCTTTTCCTTCCCTCCCCACTTAAAACGTGGTTACAAAGCACGGATCCACATGGATCCTCAGGATTTTTGCATTGGGCTACTCCAAACTCACTGTCAGATCACATGTCTGTGGCCACAGCATGAACCACAAAAATCATACATCCACTGTTTCGTTTAGGATATTCTTTTTCTTGTTTTCCTCCTCTAAAAACTACGTGCGTGTTATGGTCTGGTGCGTGTTATAGAGCGAAAAATACGGTAATATCTATATTTTCCTTCACAAACATTATGTTAAAAATACTGAGAAAATTGTGCCCTAATAAATCTGTTGCTCTTCACAGTGCCTCAAGACTTAGTTCCTTTTGCGCTAGTGAGAAATATGAGAATGTTATGGATATATTGATTAAGTATTATCCTTGCTTCACTCATGCTAGTGAGTGTGGTAGGAGAGCAGATTCCGCTCAATATAGCACTCTTCAGCTGTTTCTGGGTGAGCCAACTTTTGTTAGTGTGTCAGATCTTTCTTCGCTGTTGATGCAATAACCAAGTCTATTGTTTCAAGGACTTTTCTTTATTCTCCTTCTGATTCCCCTTGAGCCTTTATCTGAGTTTTCTCTCCTATAATCCCAACTTCCAGGTTCTGTGGCACAATAGTCATGGCTTTTCCCCAAAGACCTTTCTTCCAAATTGGCCCAAACAGTTTCAGCTGGTAAGAAGTATAATTTACCATAACAACTGGAAAGGTCCCCAAGAACCTTTAAATATCAGATAACCTAAAATGATATATGGGAATGTGACTTTATCAACTGTTTATGATCTATAATTTATGTTCTTGCCCAAAGGCTTAATGGCACCCAACTAATAATGTCTGAAAAAATCTCGCTCGCTCTCGCTCTCCCGCATACTACATGTTACAAAGTAAGTTATGTCTCTTAGTATTACCATACTTAAATATTTAATAGATTTGTAACAAATGTGGAACTGATAGTCCTTAAATGACTGGGTAAGTAAATTTTCACCTATAGGCACCAGTTAATAGAGTATTGTGATATTTTAACAGAGACATCTATCATCTGCACAAATATGGGAATTGTAAAATGAGGTTTAGAAATAATCAGAAGAATATCATCTGCATATGAAATCAATTTTTATTCAACCGAATTACTCCATAGATATCTCAATGTTGTCTAATAGCACAAGCTAAGGTTTCCAAGCAAATGTGAAAAAGCAAGGGTGGAATTGAACAAGTATAGGATAGACGGAGATTTTGCAAACATGTTTTTCTCCAGCCTGCACCTGTGCATGAAGCCACGTAAAGAGTTCAGGACATTTAAGAGGCCATGCTTGTTCCCTTTATAATTATCAAAATCATAGAGGGGTTTTTCTTTCATCTTCTTCTCAACAAAGCTCCAGAGATTTTGTCCAAAGATCACCTTTGAGTCCACTCAGGGAGATATCTGAATTGTCAACAACATGAGGTTATTAATATATTTCACCAGAGACTGGTGCATAAAGACCTTGTGTACCACTGAGAATTTGGGTTCAGATTTAGGAGAGGTGAGTTGCAATACAAGGTTGTAAGGCTGACCTCTATCTCTTCTAGATACCAAGTCTAGTATCTTCTAGATACCAACTCTGAGATGCCAGACCCTCCTCACTTGAACTGCTAGTCACTTTGGGGCATCCCATCAACATTATCTAATTATTTTCTAGTTCAGAGGAGCAGTGACAGGAAAGGAAGGTGTTCCAAGCAGGCACAGAATGGTACTGCTTCTCCTGCTCTTCCTGCCTCATGCAGACAGTGGAGTGAAGGCAAAATGCCCCTTGACTTTGGAGAGAGACTGGATGGAGCCATTCAATTATTACAGGCCAGGAGACCACATCATTAGTGGAGTGATCTCTGCCACAGGTGCTGCACTTAATCCACAGCACTTCAATGTGTCTCCCTCTACCAGCTTTGTCATGTAAGTCCATTTATGGGGATGGGGTTACTGTTGCTCGAAGCAATATTGATTTTTATTTATCATCCTTTTGGAGCTGTAGTGTATCTGCGTATTTGGTCCTTCCAGGCTGTGATGCTCATTTATTTATTTATTTATTTATACATACATACATACATACGCCACCCATCTGGCTGAGTTTCCCCAGCCACTCTGGGCGGCTTCCAACAAAGATTTAAAATACATTAAAACATCAGTCATTAAAACTTCCCTAAATACGGCTGCCTTCAGATGTCTTCTAAACATCAGATAGTTGACATTTGATGGGTTTAGGGTTTAAAATTTTACTTCTTTATTTCACTTCATTTTTAATGTTTCCATTTCTTTTTTAAAACAAATCAATAATTTTTTTTAAAAAAATAACAGGCTTTGCAGGGACGGGGGGTGGCGGCGGGGAGAGAGTGAGAGAGAGCAATAGATTCCCCGTGTCATCTAATGAGCGTCTGAAAACCTTTTATCTCCTATTATTCTTTGGAAGTCTGTGCACGTCTAATTCCATCATGAAAAATTACTTCTGCTTTAGTTTTGTTTTCCAAGGGATAAGGGGTATCGATTAAACAAGGCTTTCCCAACACTCATGCATTATTATTTGGGGATTGGCTGAATTTGGATCAGTGTTAGATTGATTAAAGTCTAGAAATTGAATCCAGGACTTTATATTGTCCTTAGAAGCTTGTCAAAAAAAGCAAGAGTTGGAAGTGATACAAGGTACTGGCTGCTCCTGTCCTTCTTCTTTGCCATTCAAGAGATTAACCAGAATCCCAGGCTCTTGCCCAACATCACTCTGGGCTACAATATCTATGAGAACTTTTTTCGTGCAAGGGTGACGTATAAAGCTTTGGTAGACCTGGTCTCTTCTAGACAGGCGAATGTTCCAAACTACAACTGCGGAGGACAGAATAATTTGATTGCTGTTCTTGAAGGGGCTGACTCTGACTCTGAGAACTCCATCCAGATTTCAAGCATGTTGGGCATCTATAAAATGCCACAGGTAGGAATGGAGATGGAGGAATTATCTGGCTGCGGTTCTCAGGCATGAAAATTTTGGGTAATGTCAACTCAGAATGAGGAAGACATAGGATGTCAAGGGATTGAAGAAAGGAGATAAGGAATGGTCAGAAGAATTGCTGTGCTCTTGTTGATATTACCTGTCCTTCCTCCTTTCCTGTTGTTTCAAATGCTGATTCCTGTGTTTGTGTGTTTGTATGCCTGTGCATATAAAACGGGAAGGAAGGGAACTTCACTCGTACTAGTGGCCATGCCACTAAAAATGGGATAAAGCGGGGAAGTTTCCCCTGAGAGAAACCGTGATATTTTGTTTATTAACTGAAAACATTTATATCCCACTCAGTTAAAAAACCTTTTAGTAGTGCACAACATAAAACAATAACAAAATTGTTGAAACAGATGTACAGTATAATACCAGTAAATTAGAAGGATAAAAGCTTATTTTAAAAGATGAAAACAGGAACTGAAGGACTTCATAAAGATAAAGATGGGATGCAATCTTATGTGCCAAGGAAAGTCTGGGCAAAAAAAAGCAACGTGTCTTTATAAAGAAAATATATGTTATTTGGGGTAAGAATGATTTCAGCTTTGATCCCAAACATTGCAAGACAACAGTCCTTCTTTTCTTGCCAGGTCAGCTATGCTTTTGGCTCCCATGTTCTGAATGACAAGAGGCAGTTCCCCTTGTTCTATCGGACGGTCCCCAAAGAAGAGGCCGTTTACCCAGCGATTGTCAAGCTGCTCCATCACTTCAGATGGACGTTCATTGGTCTCATTGCTCCAGACACCGACAATGGAGACAGGTTCATGAAGACATTGACACCTGTGCTTGAAGAGAGTGGCATTTGTGTTGCCATCTCACAAAGAATTCCAGACTTGAATAGATTCCATTTGACGTTCAATGTTCCTGCATTAGAAAAGTGGGGACAAGTCCATGTATTTCTTTATTATGTAGAAACGACTTATTTCTTGGTGGGAATGCAAATTGCAGAAATGATGTTTGACATGATGGTCAAACCCACTGCAGGGAAAGTTTTGATCACAACATCTTTGTGGGATTTCAGCGTAGACTTCATTAACTTAATCAAGATTGGTTTAAATTTCCAACAGTTCCACAGTATTCTTTCTTTCTCTATTGGGACAAAAAAATGGGCAAAATATGGTGATTTTGATGAGTTTTTCTTTGCAATTAAGCAATTTTGGGAGGAAGCTTTTACTTGTTCCAATATATTGCATGCATTGTCAGTGAAAAGCTGGACAAGATGCAGAGAAAGGGAGGAACTGGAGATGCTGCCCCAAGACCATCTGGAAAGACTCTTATCTCTAAACAGCTACAGGATTTACAACACTGTCCAAGCTGTGGCCCGTTCCTTAAATGCTGCATATTCCTCTAGATCTAAGTGGAGGTTGAAGGACAGTCTGCAAGTTCAAAGGCTACAGCCATGGCAGGTATTTCCTTTCCCATCAATGACATCTCAGCCAAACATCACAATCAATTGTACAATTCCAGAATGGTTGCCTTGGAGATTGTCTGAGAACTTGGGGGATGTAGGGGGGAGGTGAGATTTTGCAAACCCCTTTGTGAAGTGCTATGAATTGATTCCTTTTTATCTCCTCTCCGATGATAGTCTCTCTGGGAACAGTTCCCACCACTAGCCGAACCTCTTCTTTGCCTTGAAGTGGCCCATTTGACCCCCAGCCCCTCCATAAGAATTCCCTTGGGCAGGGAAGATGGCATTGCACAGGCTCTCTCTCCCAAAGCCTTCTTCTCTCCTGTTTAGGGAGATACTTTGGCACCTACTGAGCTCCACTGAGCTCTATCCTTTGTCCAAAGATTGTGTGTGTTGATGGAGCCTGTATTAAGTGCCTGAGCGACTCATGTTCTTCTTACAACAGAGTTTAATATATATGCACATTTGTCATATTTCTGGTGTATTTATATTCTGTTTCCATTAATATTCAATGATCCAAATTTTCCATTTTATATAGAATCTTGAATATTTTAATATGGAGCAGATAATACCTTCAATCATCATCTGAGGCCCTTCTTCATACGTCTCCTTCATGAAGAGTCTGGAGGGTGGCAACATGAGAATGTGCCTTTTCTGCAGTGGCTCCCCGTTTGGAGAATGCTCTCTCCAGGGAGGTTTGTCTGGCACCTTCATTATACATCTTTTGGTGCCAGACTGGAGTCACATGCAGCTCAGAACAAAGAGGCAGTCAGTTGTTAACTATTTATTCAAGATAACTGGCATTAACTCAGTAACACTTCCCAATCAGTCTTTTTTTAAGCTTTTATTTATACTTTTATTTACAATCATTTTAACATTTCAAAGTTAGACTTCCTTCTCCCTCTTTCTGCGGTTCCTTAAATTTGCTTTTCAATATCTTCTGCATATCCAAATTCATTTAATTTGCTCATTTAATTGTCTACTTTAAATATATATTCTTATGAAACTGCAGGTTATTACAACAACCCTGCCAATGTTTTTATCTGTTTGCAATATATCTGTAAATATTCAATAAACCTTTTCCATTCTTTTATAAAAAGGTTTGTTATCTTGATTTCTTATTCTTCTGATAGGTTTGGCCATTTCTGCATATTCCATAAGTTTTTGTGTCCATTCTTCCTTTGCTGGGTTTTCTGCTTCTTTCCATTTTTAGGCAAGTTGCATTCTTGCTACTGTAGTTGCAAACATAAATAAATTTCTTTACAATTTGGGTAGTTCTGCCCCTATAATTCCAAAAGGTCTTGCCCCTATAGAGCAGTTGCCAGGACTGAGCGGCCCTGCAACCCATTCTAAGGCCCCAACGCTCTTGGATGTTTCCCAAGCATCTCAAACTGCATTTGTGCACCTCTCGTCTCTGTTCTGCCCTTCACATTATCCTGCAAGTTTTTTGAGACCAGGGACAAGGGGAGCTTGTCTCAGTAGGAGAGGGAGAGTCTATGGATTCTCCAGCAGCATCTTGACCCCTCTCCTCTGCTTCAGCCTCAGAGTCTGAACTGCTCCCCGTCACTGACTCTCCCTGCTCACTAAACCCTGTTGCCCCTTCAGCATCTAGCCCCTTATCGCCATCTTCTTCCTCTGACTTCTCCTCAGTCTCCCATCACCAATCCCCTGGCTCTGAGCCTTCCTCCCATGGGGATTCCCTTGAGGGTTCGCTGCCTGGTGCCTCCCACAATTCCTCAGACTGCCCAACCAGTCCCTGACACTCTGTAGCCAATCCCAAATGAGAGCAGATCCAAGCATGAAATGTGCAGAGTTGAATAGTCAGTGTTGTTCCCCTATTCTATATATTTCCCCTATTCCCTTTTCTCTGCCATTCTAGCTCCACTCTTTCCTGGGAGAAGCCCAATTTTACAATTCTTCAATTGATGGTGTGTATTTGGATGAGAATGGGGAACTGGCAGCTGACATGGACATTGTGAACTGGGTGGTGTTTCCCAATCAGTCCATCCTTAGAGAGAGGATTGGGAGCATCAATAGACAGAGACCCCTAGACCTAAAGTGCACCATCGACCAGAATGCCACTGTGTGTCCGAAATGGCTCAACAAGGTGGGGAAAATAATTTTATTTTATTGGATTTCCCATCCCATAAACTCAAATCACGTCACCATGCATTTCTTGTAGCTCTAACAGTCCCTGTGAAACTGTGTATATGCATGAATAAGCTGCTATGGGAGTGTAATTTCAAGGTGGTTGCTTATTTTAGTAACTTAATTAGGTAGCCAAGGGTTTTCCCCATTCCCTGTCATATTTAAATCATAAAAAATCTAAAATCTGTAGGAGAGTGTGGCTTTTAGCAGCCTCACTGCTGGCAATATTTCCTGAAATGCTCCTGTAAATCCATGTTCGATGAAGCAACTTCCAGAAAAGTGTTGAAAGATTTGTTTGCAAGAAGAGATGGCCTCCTGACTTGAACCCTTCAATGAAATTTAACCATCCCTCAACATTTCCAACATTTCCTCTCCCAACCCTTTTAGTGAATGAAAAAATATTTTTGGGAAATACTGTCCCAGCTCCAGTTCAAACACACGTTGCAGGAAGATGAACCACTTCACCAGTTAAGTATTTATTTCTGTCAGGGTTGGCTAATATCTGGAACCCCCTCTCACAAATTCTATTTGGCATAGAAGCACCCTGTCAGGGAACTGCCATCGGAAGGAAGGGAGGTGAAAGGACTCAGACAGGTTGGAAGAGACTCAGCAGCTGAAGAGGGAACCAGCAAGGGGAGAGAAGCTGAACTGAGGGAGGTGAAAGGGCTCAGACAGGTTGGAAGAGACTCAGCAGCTGAAGAGGAAACCAGCAGGGGAGAGAAGCTGAACTGAGGGAAAGGGAGCTGGGGGATGGCTCAGAGATACTTCCAGCGAAAACAGTGGTGAGGTTTCCGGACCTCCTGTAGGGACACCCACTCCTCGCCGGAAACTGTCACGCAGAGAGTCCAGAAGACGTGTTTCCGTTAAGGAGCTTTTATGTTGGAAGCGATTACGAAAGCAACCACTGTCGGAATCTTCTAGTGACTAGAGGAGCCATGTCAGAGGGGCTCAGTCACAGACAGAGGTTTGTGGACTTGAACAAACTCTGAGGGAATACGATTTTACGCACAAGCAGCTCATCTTCCCATCACAGCATTCCGACAGTCTTTGAACGCAGCTTGTGCAGGAGAAGGCATAATGAGCAACCCAGCAGGAACCGGAGAAGCAGGGGCTGGAGCGGGTCCAAGCCTGGAAGAAAGGTACCGGGTGTTGGAGGTCCAGCTGGCGCTGCAGACGGCGAGGCTGGAGGAGAGGAGGGCTCAAGATGCAGACAAAGGGAGAAAGCCACCCAGCTCGCCAGAAAGGTACCAGGATTGGTGCAGAAATTTGGGGGGGAGCCCAAAGACTATCATAGCTTTCGGACAGAAATGCAATATGCCCTCAATCTGCAGTTTGATGATTTCCTGATGAGGAATCACGAGTGGCTTTTGTGATTGGGCATCTTGAAAAGGGGGCGAGAGACTGGGTTAGACCCCTGATGGCAGCGCATAGTGACGTCCTAAAGGACACGATGAAGTTCTTTCGCGCCATGGATCTGATGTTTTCCAGCGATATTGAAAAGGGAGTGGTGCGCAGACAGTTAATGGCTTGCAAACAGGGGAGCCGATCTGTACGTGAGTACTGGACTGAGTTCACCATGCTGATACACAGATTGGGGTGGGACTTATCGGCGGAACCCATTCAAATGCTCTTTGAAGAAGGGCTTTCTTCGGCTGTGAAAGATGAACTTTCCCGGGCGCCCAGGGCGGAGTCTATGGACCAGCTGACCAAATCAGCGCTGGCCATAGGAGCGCGCCAGGAGGCGAGAGCATTGGAGAGGCGGGAAGGGAAAGGGGAACGTTGGAAGGAGTTCCGCATTCCAGACATTCCAGAGCCAACTTTCCCGCCGGCAGAGCCGATGGAAATCGGAACAGCGCGCGCGCGCGCAGTTTCAAAGCCCAGTGAGGGGGGGGAAAAAGGAGGGAAAAGGCGCCCGGAAATGCTATCTCTGCCAACAGCCAGGGCACTTTGCCAGAGTCTGCCCCCAGAGGAAGGAATGGCAAGGGATGGTGGGAGCTGTGGAGGGAAGCGAGGACAACAGACCGGAGCAACTAAAAGCCAACGCCTGGCTGCCATTGTCGGGGCACAGCAGCCAGGCCAAAGAGCAGTGAAAGTGCCCACGCCAGAACCTCCTAAACCCGCCCTAGTGATAGAAGTGACTCTAGAGCTGCCAAACGGACACCCTCTAAAGATAAAGGCGCTGTTGGACTCAGGCAGCTCCTGCAATTTCATGAGCAAAGAGTTTGCAGCTGAACACCAGATACAGACGCTCCCTTTAAGCAACCCCTGCAGGTAACCACGATCGATGGCAGGGAGCTGTTGGGAGGAGAAGTCAGCTTGCAGACCGTCCCAATGATAATGAAGGTGGCAAGGCACACCGAACTAATAGCGTTTAATGTGGCCACCTTGGGAGGAGCTCCCATTATATTGGGGATGAGCTGGCTAGCGTTACATGATCCGCTGGTGGGCTGGCATCAAAGAGTGGTTTCTTTTGGGTCAGCACATTGCTTAGAACACTGCAAAGAGGGAAAGGTTTTGGCAGGGGCCCAAGCCACCCTAGCAGGGACTGAAGTAACGGAGAACGTGAAGGTACCACGACAATACGCAGATCTCCGCGACGTCTTCAGCGAAAGGGAAGCTGACCAACTACCACCGCATAGAGCCTTTGACTGTCAAATCAATTTGCTCCCTGGGGCACAGCTCCCTGTGGGCAAGCTGTACGCCATGTCAGACAGAGAGATGCAGGAGCTAAGAGAGTTCATTGACAAGAACCTGAAGAGAGGGTTCATCAGAGAGTCCAGGGCGGTGTGGGGCAGCCCAGTGTTTTTGTGGACAAAAAAACACGAACAAGCCGAGACTGGTGTGTGACTTCAGGGCCTTAAATGCAGTGTCAGAACCAGTGGCCTTCCCGATGCCCAGGATTGACGACATTTTGACAAGGGTGCGGAAGGGAAAGATTTTCACCAAGCTGGATCTAAGGGGGGCGTACAACCTGATACGAATAAGGAAGGGGGATGAATGGAAAACCACCATGTTCACCCCTTTAGGGGCATTTGAATACTTAGTTATGCCCTTCGGTCTACAAGCAGGCTCCGCAACATTTCAATCGTTTATGAACCACGTCCTGGGGCCGTTGCTTTACAAGAATTGTGTGGCCTTCTTAGACGACGTGTTGGTGTATTCTGAGAATGAGGAGCAGCATGTGAGAGACGTCAGAGAAGTGTTGAGCAGGCTGCAAGCCAACCAGCTGTGGGTGAAACTGGAGAAGTGTCAGTTTCATACCAAGGAGGTGGAATTCCTGGGGTATCGCCTGTCTGACAAGGGGTTGGCCATGGATCCCGGCAAGGTCCAGGCGGTACTGGAATGGAAAACACCCAAAACAAGGAAGGATGTGCAGAGGTTTTTAGGATTTGGGAACTTCTATCGTAAGTTCATCCCAAACTTTGCCCACCTGACGGCGCCCATTACGGACTGTCTCAGCAGTAAGAAGAAGTTCGTTTGGACGGAGGAGGCGGAGCAAGCATTTGAGGAACTAAAAGGGCCTTCGCCTCGGAACAACAGCTCCTGCATGTGGATTTACAAAAACCGATGAGAGTGGAAACTGACGCATCAGACAGAGCGGTTGGGGCGGTGCTTCTCCAGCCAGGGAAGGAGGAGTCAGAGTGGAGACCGTGTGCCTTTTTTTCGCGAAAGCTGAACAAATCCGAGAGGAACTACACGGTGTATGACCGAGAACTACTAGCCATTCATGAGGCGTTCCGGAGATGGAGGCACCTGCTAATTGGCGCACAACATAAGGTGCAAGTGTGCACTGACCACAAGAACCTAGAGTATTGGAGGACGGCACGAGTGCTCAACCAACGGCAAGTGAGGTGGGCCCAGGAATTCTCCAAATTTAACTTTGAGATTTGTTACGTGCCAGGCCCAGAGAACATTAGGGCGGACGCTCTCTCACGCAAACCTGAATATTTGGAGGGGAAGGGAGCACCCGAAGAGAGACATGTCATTCCAGAGGACCGCTGGGTGTGTGGGGCGGCATTGGTGGGACAAAGAGAACTGGTAGAAGAAACAGAGAATGATGAATACGCCCAGAATAAGCTCAGAGGTCTTAGGGATGAGGGAGAGGAATCAAGGGGTTTCGAGGAAAGAAATGGAGCTTTGTATTACAAAGGGGCACTGTATATCCCTGAAGGAGACTTAAGGGGAGGGTACTCAAGCAGTTGCATGACAGCCCCACGGCGGGCATTTTGGGCAACACAAAACCATGTGGTTGGTCACCAGGGAATTTTGGTGGCCTAAGGTGAGGGAGGATGTACGTGAGTATGTAAGAGGGTGCGAGCAGTGCCAGCGAGCCAAAGGGGAAAGGCGGGCGCCGGCGGGGCTATTAGGAACCCTTACCAACACCAGAACGACCTTGGGAGGCAGTGTCGATAGATTTTATGACTGATCTGCCGAAGTCCAAAGGGAAAACAGCCATCATGGTGGTGGTAGACCTACTAACAAAGATGTGCCACTTTGTAGCTTGCTCGCATGCAGTCACGGCGGAAGAGACAGCGAAGTTATTTGTAGAACACATTTTTAGGTTGCACGGGGTGCCATTGAGGGTGGTCTCAGACCGAGGAAAACAATTTACTTCCAGGTTCTGGAGGAAGCTCATGAGCTTACTGCAGGTGGAGGTCAACTTTCGACTGCCCGGCACCCTGAAACCAACGGGCAGGCGGAAAGAGCAAACGGTGTCCTCCAGCAATACCTGAGGTGTTATGTCAATGACAGAGAGAATGACTGGGTAGAAAAGTTGGCGCTGGCGGAATTTGCCTACAACAATGCCGAGAATGTGTCCACAGGGATGAGCCCCTTCTTGGCTAATTATGGGTGTCATCCCAGGGCTTTCCCAGGGGGGAAGGGGAGAGATGGAGCGTACCGGCAGCCGAGCATTTTGTAGAAGAAATGGAAGCAATCCACCGTCAGCTTCAACTCAACTTAGAAAGGGCGAAGGAAGAATACAAGAGGCAGGCAGACAAGAACCGAAGGGAAGGTGAAACCATAAGGGTTGGAGATAGGGTGTGGCTGTCAACCCGAGGGTTGCCGTTCAAAGGAGGTTGTAAGAAATTAAGACCCAGGAGGTTGGGTCCCTTTGAGGTCATTCAACAGGTCAACCCAGTGGCTTTCAGGCTCCGGTTACCCAACCACATGAAACTGCACCCAGTATTTCACAGGTCGTTACTGTCACCGTACGAGGGGGGACGAGAAGGGATGGCCACTCGGGACCGGTCATAGAAGAAAGAGAATGCAGCAGTCATGTGGCAGAAATCCTTGATGCCAGGTGGAAGGGGAATCAGGTGGAGTATTTGGTAGCGTGGGAAGGAGAACCGGAGTCAGAAAACACGTGGGTAATGGCCGAAGATATCAATGACGAGGTATTGATAGAAACGTTCCATCAAAGGTTCCCGAGGAAACCTCAGCCTGTGGAGAGGTTCCGGAGGGAATAC